ACTCGACGCGATCCTCGAGCCGTCGCTCGACGAGCTGCGGGAGTTCGGCGCGGCCTGCGCGCACCTCCTCCCCGACGCGCTCGCGGCCTGGGTCGCCGCGCCGCCGCCGGCGCCCTGGCTCCGCCGGGCCGACGGCGCGCGCCTCCTCCGGCGGCTCGAGGCCGTGGACGCGGCGTCGCTGGAGCTCCCGCTCAAGGACGCGCCGGGGTTGGAGGAGGTCTGGGCGCTCGCGACGCTCGACGTCGCCGACGGCGACGTCGGCGCGGTCGCGGCGCGCATCCTCCGGGGCGAGGTCGACGCGCCGTCGGCCGACGCGCTCCGCACCCTCGCGGGGGTCCCGGGCGCCGGCGAGGACCCGCGGACCGCCGGCGACGGCTCGCGGGCGCTCGAGGTCGCGCTCGCGCGCGTCTCGGACGCGCGGCGCTTCGCGCGGCTCTTCCCGGACCGCGTCCGCGTCGACGCCGACACCCTCGCCGCGCTCTACGACGCGGGCGCGGCCTGCTGCGCGCGCGCGCTCCCCGGCGAGCTCGACCGCGCGCTGCGCTGCGACAGCTGCGGCGCGGTTCGCGCGCACGTCAAGAAGCGGACGTGCCGCGCGTGCCTCAAGGCCGCCGCGGACGAGGAGCGGCGCCTCTCCGCGATGCGCCGGACGCCGTCCTGGCAGTCGCTCTGGGCGAACGCCGCGCCCTAACATAGTTAACATAAAAGTTAACTTCAACTTGTATACTTGAAGTCTGTTGAGTTCAACGTCTATGGGCAGCTTGTCTTGCAGCCCTTTCGGTGGCATACTCGGTGGCATCCAGCTCGTGCCCAATAATGCTTTCTCCCAACTCCCTGCTCTTCGCGGCCTTCGCGACCTGCACGTCGTATGAATTCATCGCCAGCACCAACAGCCCCTTCGACGGCATCGACGTCGGTGCCCAGAGCGCGCCCACCCTCGCCAACATCGACGGCGACGGCGACCTCGACCTCGTCGTGGGCGAATACGACGGCGCCCTCTACTACTACGAGAACGTCGGGTCCGCGACGTCGCCGAACTACGAGGAGGTGACCGGACCACGTCGCGCGGGAGCCGGGAGCTACTTCTACTACATCGACGTCGGTACCTGGCGCAGCGCGCCCGCGCTCGCCGATCTCGACGGCGACGGCGACCTCGAC